TCTCCAGATGACTACAGTTGTAGAGGCAATTCAGCATTTGTTTATATGCATTCCTGGAGCGTATAATCATAGCAACTTTTATTGTCCATCTGCGTCAGTATCTTCTACCATAAGAGAATGACAGCTCTCCTTACTTGTAAGATTAATTACGATCAGGAACAAGCAGCGTTACCTTCTTATTTTACACAGAGCTTTCTGAAAACATACAGATAATTTTTCCATACTTTCCACTCTAAGCATATTTCACAAATACAAAACAACATCGAAAACAAGAATACCAAAGTTCCTTACCTCCACTCCATAAAACTTCATTTGTATAACATCTTAATTTAGAGAGCTTGCTTCAGACAATTCCCCCCAGCATATTTGACCACCACAACCTAGAAAAACTAGATGCTACATGCCAACTAGTTGTCTTCACAACGGTAATATTTCACCTCATCAGCAACTTGTTTCTTTGCATTCCTTATGCTTTTCCACAACACACTGTTTAACTCCACATTAATTATTTATACAGTAATTTAAAAACTATTTCCTACTGATATTTTTCTTAACCTCCTAACTTATGACAACATTTTACATTATCTCTTTGTCTCTTACTGTGCTGGGGGCCCTTGTTCAAATCCTTAAGATGTACGTGCTGAAGTAGTAAGGACAAGTGAAGAAGCACAAAAGTATTATTCTGTTATATATGGCTATTATTCTCATTAAAATAGGAACTGTAATTGATTAAACCAGGAAAAGTCAAAAGCCTGTATTCTACCACTGCTGAAAAAACTCACTCAATCCCTTGATGCATAAAACAGCATACTGTAACTTTTGCTTTAAGTTCATTTCTACTATGAAAGGTGAGATGAACTCTTTATATCAAGCATAGCTCTAGTGCCTTCTCAAAATGCACCACAGTCCTGATACAGTTATAGTTTGTTTCTTCTCCATTACTTGTCTCCAAATATTCCCTGAGAATATTGGTAACATCTTTCAGCAGTGGTTTTGCTTTATTTTGGTCATGCAATTGTTATTCTTCCCTTAAAATTAGGTTCTTGATACGGTTTTCCCACCTCTTCCAATACATGAACCGTACCTTAGACAGGTAAATTTATATAATGAAGTTCAGTAAACTACATGATTCACCTAATACCCCAAACACTGTATCTGCCCTTCTCAATCCCCTTGCAGCATATCCCTGTTCAAATGCTCTAGATTTATCTTCGAAGTCAACAGAAGCTAAGTCCTAAAGACATGTAAATAAAGAGGCAATCCTTAGAATCAGACAGATCATTACCTTTAAAAAGTTAAGTTCTGTTTTAGTACCAACCAGTATATCACTGCAAAAACAAACTGCAGAGCACAATATTTTTCCACAATAAGTGATATGGTATTTAGCACAAGGGTTGCTCTGAAATTAATGACTCCTATTTTATTATATTAGTCAACAGCATCAGAGGAGGATGATGGTGGTAGAGAAGTAAAAGGTTGAACCTCCCCATCAATGTTCTGTTGCTTTGCAGCAGGTGGTAGCAGAGAGGCTGCCTGACAAAATCACATCTGATGCATACAAAGCAAAGGGGTATAACTGAATTCCTCCATACAGAAAAATGGCACCCACTGACACTGATGCTTGTTGAATGTTTATGAAGATCAAGCAGTGGATAAGAGTACAGCAAGGCAGATGGTGGGTGGTACTTTCAGCAGTGGCGACAGTAACATGAAAGACAAGCCATGCTCTGGATGGCCACACAGCTGTTACCATGAAATGAAGAACATCCTACCTCCTTCAAAGAAGATTTGAAATTGTTAGAGAGAAGATTTGAAGGAGGTGACAAAAGAAGCAAGTATGAGCTTATCTGAACATAAATCTCACCAGTCACTTCTTAAATGCAAAGGAATTAGGCCACAACAATGTAAGCAAAGGAACAAATTGCCAGGAAAATAAGAATCCTGTTTTACATGAAGTACTGGAAGTCAGTATGTAAAAGTCAGTCTGGTAAAAGCCAGATTAGGTGGTTGACACATTAAGCTGTAAACCAGTTTTGGAAGTCTTGTTGTTGCAGTGCTAGATCAGGAACTTTAACAATACTTGATCACCTCCAAATCCCATAAGCAGCATGACTTCCTCTGTATAGTTGTTCAGCAAAGGAAAGTATCTTCACATCACCGAACAAAATACTGTGAAGCTAAGTGTGAAGCTAAGATATCTGTACCAGTAAATTAAAGAAACCCCCCTGGCTTTAGATACCATTTTAATGTTGCTCAATTCATCAAGACAGATCATTCACTGTAGCTACAATCTAATGTATCTACCATCTAATCCTTGTCAGCTACTCTTATAGTCTCCTGAATTCAAAGGTATTAAGCTAAAGGTCAAAGTAAAACAATGCCTGTAAACTATTTTGAAATACTAATGCATATTAAGGCAAAAAATATTTTTGCTCAGGTTACATTCCAAACCTATGACACATTTCAAATCAATAGCTATCTACTTTCTAAAGCTTTACAATTACCAGTACCATAACTGCTCAGAAACATTAACTCCACAAATCACCCTTGACAGGCTCGTTACTAAAGTTCGAAAGATAATATGATAACATAGCTTCGTCCACTAGCTTCCGAGCTTCAAGTAACATTCTTGCCAGGTCTTATACAGAGGAAGATGATTAAGATAGAGAAATAAAAAATTAAATTATGGCTCTACATGCTTGCATGATGAGAGAAGGACATTCACAGGTGTCACTCATCATGACTAGATAGTATCTGATCAGTTAAGTACAGAATTAAGAGTAAAAAGGGAGTAAGCAGCTTGCTTTAAATTTTACTATTTCAGTCTCGTTTTACGGTTATCAGATTGTCCCCTCCACAAAATAGCCAGGATAGTTATTATATAAGAGACATTTCACACAATCTACTTACCCTACATAATTTCAAGCACATTTCAGTTGTTTAATAATCCAGTTAACACACAAAAGTTACTCTCATAGTCACGGTTAAATGAGATTGATATTAATTTCTGAAAGCAATACAATTTTTGGACTTGATGAACACCTCACTGCTTCCTTAATCAACTCTTCCATAATTTGATACACATCGCTTTTAATTGTTTTGTTGTTCTAAGTAGTTTAGAAGAGATTACAGATATGTCAGATACTTAGTGTTAGTTAATGTGCATGCATTATTTGAACACTATTTGCACTGGTGTAGCACCAGATTCTCGTTTGCCTGAAAAGTCACCCATATTTTCTTGGATGTTCACGATGCTGTATGCCCCAAGATTATAATGATTATGCTTTTAAGAAGCAAGATTTAATTTGCCTCAACTAAAGTGTTTCTTATTACTGGTTCACATAACCTGTAGAACCATAGTCTTGAATGATCTCTAGATAGGAAGTTTCAAAATTGAACCTTACAAAAAAAACTGTAGTTGTTGCAAAAATAAGTAGTACTAAGTAAAACTGAGAAACAGGCACACAAAAAACATTAATGCAGCTTAACTATCTTTGCTGTAAACTAGTTCTAGTTGTTTATCATGGGCTAGAAGAAACCTTAAACTACAGCTCAACTGGCATGCATTTCTATTTCACTTTTTGAAAAACTTAGTCTGAGAATTCATGCTTGCCCTTCTGGTATGTTAGTAAATTATCATTCAAATTATATTTGCAGTCTTATATTTTTATGTGTGACAGTCATATGAAAGAAGTTCTACTGACAGCATACAGCATTCACAGAATTGACAACTCCAACAGTTACAAAGTTGGGTCAAGTTCTCCCCTCTGTAACATTAGTACAGGGCTCATGACAGAGTATTGGAATGCTACATTCCAGGAGCATATTTCATCAAATGAAATGACATTCTGCTAATTTTCATGATTTAATTCTCACAATAGAACAATATCTTCAGACTGTTGCATAGCCACGAATCAAGTTCCATGTAAAATGTAATGTTCTGTTTTTAAGTAATTCCATTGTCTGCAAGTACTTAGACATTTCTAGATAACTAGCTCATTAAATAGTTATTTAGAACAGCTCTCCACAAAGGCCCTCCATGGAGCAAAGACTGACATGCAGCATGATTACATCAGTATGATTAACTGAATCACTGTCCCTTCTAAAAATGCTGCTAGCAACCCAAAATGAATTTACAGACACTGCTTTAGGCATCCTCTATCTTCAGTTTTTATCTGAAGCATTCATTCTCATCTCAACCTTTTGAGCGCTTGTGTTTAGTTTTATGTTTTTAGGAAATCATTTGTTTATTTTCATGTAGCTTGTAACCTGTCAGAATACATTTTAATGCTCCTTCATATTGTGAAATAACTACTGTTGGGAACTTACTGAACAGCAATAACACACAAGAAGTGTAATACTAGTTTTTCCTGTCTTATTTCCTTAAGTGATAACTAAAATTACATCAATAAGTGCTAATACATTAATTTAAACAATCCATTGTTGAGTTTGGGAGAGCTTTTTCACATTTGCACAATGCTATTCAAGTATACCTTGTTAAATCATGGTGTTCTCTTAGAGAAGGTGTCACAATACTTTGTTATATAGATACAAGTATTTTTCACAACAGAACAAGTGCTAAAAAGAAGAACCAGTTTCCTGTATTATGCCACGCAGATGAGCAAATAGGAGTTCTGCATTGTTGACTTCTCTGAAGACAGCTGTTCCCCATTAACATTCATTATGGACCAGGTACTATTTATTGTAGTCAAAGTCTTACTAAAACACAAGGTAGAATTGGATAAACCAAGTTAATCTACCAAGAAGTAAATCTCAGATGCGCTACGGCAACAAACTCAACCATAAGAACTTCTACTCTTTGTTGCTATTATGAAGAGCCAGTTTGATCCCAAGTTTCACTGTAGCTCTGAACTCCATACTTACCTTACATACAATGAAAAGACTCATATTGAAGCGCCACTTGATGCCTGAAATTTGCTATTTCAACTACTATAAACATTAGAGTCAACACATTGTTGTCGCTAAGAAGTAAGACTTACCTAATATGTAGATAGTCTTCTGATCACTTCTCTGACCAAGGGAATTAGTCACCTTACAGATATAAGTCCCAGTGTAGTTGTAAGTCAATGGGCTGTTGAACTGCAGAGTATTGTTGACAGACAGCAGTCCTTCAGGCCACTGTCCATCCAGCCTAAAACAAAAACAGTTGGCTATACTTCAGGTGTAAATCCTTAAGACCAAAGTCCTAAAGTAATTAGGTTAAAATGCATCTAGTACTAGGCTGGTAAGGCACTCGCAAGATACCTACAAATTAGAACAACTAAGGAAGCCATCTCAAAACAAACGATGGAGGAACAAACTAAATCAAGCTGTAGAAGTTAATAGTTAAACTAGGATGAATTTATACTGCTGTCAAGATAATATAACTGTCTTTTTCAGCCATTTCAGCTATCATACTAAAGAATATTTCTGGCAGTGCAAGCTTAATTTACAGGATAAAAATTACTAACACTTGCCAGCAGGAGCTGAAACAGATTCTTCTCTCTCAACCTGCCTTCCCTAATATCTATCTCTTCTACATTACGGCATCTTAATTCAGTGTGATGCTTAGTGATCCACTTCAGGAATCAACTGGATAAAAAGCACTCAAAAAAATCAACCAACTTCTCCAAAACTACTATTTTCCCAAAGCATCCTAGACATAATTTCAGTAACAACTATGAGAGCACAACAAAAGAGAACAGACACAAATTGGAGCTATTTTAACATAGCTGTCAAGTGCCTATTGAAACATGCCTGATCTAACGCCTAAATCAATCTTGTTGCATCTCATCTTCCTTTCATTTAACCATTAAAAAGTTAACTAACTCCATAATCAAGCATGATCACCAGGCCTGCATACCATACAAGCATTTAGCAAATAAGATTTGATAAACAGCATCAAAACAAAAGCCATCTCAACACCATACTAGGTTTGCTATTAACCTGTGAAGTTTTCCTTCTTTTTTCTGAAGACTATTGCATAGAGTTTCTACAGCTGTATGAAGCTGATACAAATGATTAGCAATATATTTTAAATTATTCATTTTGAAGAATATTACAAGATAGTCAATTTGTTACAAATGTAAACAGTAGAATAGAGCTTTCAATATACACAGCATTTTAAAATATTCCTTACAACCTTAAGCAGCAAAGACAACATTGCACTTGCAGCAATTAAAGCTTCTAGGATACCACACCAAAAAAAAAGTTAGGATTTGAAAAACACTACAAAGCACACACTTTCAATACATCTAGTTTGCCTCCTTAAACAACTCAAGTTTTCCTTACGCATAATTTTTTCCTCCTTAAAAGTTCAACATTCATTAGTGTTACAGCTACTCAGGTCAATTTCATATTTGCTAAAGCAAAAAAGCACACTCCTTTTACTCCAGTAAATTAAGTCTTTCATGTATAAGTTGACTTACTGTTTGCCTTAGTGACTTAATAGTGACTTCTAAAGCTTCAAGTGCTAAAAGCTATACATATTTTTTCTGTAAATAATAATTGTATTGCCTAGTTCTTAAACTTAAATCAAAGTAGTGAGTACCTAGCTCATCTGAAGAAAAAGGCAGTAGTGCTTTCGAAGTCCTGGCATACTACTTTAAACAGTTTTTTTGTGTTGAAATCTCTCATCATACTAAATTTAAGTTAAGCATATAGATAAAACATTTAAGTGTAATCAAATTCTTCAGTACAACACCATTCTTCAATACTGACTCTATATGCCTATGCATACGTTTAGGCTCAAGTCTGTTACATGACTGTAATGCTTAGTTTTCCCATCAAACCAGCACTCAGTTATTGTCAAGTTATCATTTTCACTTTTTCTCAACACTACAATGATTATCATTTTTATATGCTAATTTTTAACTGCCACTGGGAATGCAGGGAAAAGGATTACAACTGAAGAACAGTAAATATTCCAATGATTTTACCAACAGAAACACTTTAACACTGCTGCATATGAATTCATATTGTCCTCACAGAAGTTCTTTCTTTGATTTCTGCAAGCATCAGATGAATTTCAAGTAGCTTTATTTCATTTATCCATCTCCATCCAGTGCCAACTTTGATCTATGTTTACTTCTATCATCTTTTTCTGTTTCTTGCCTGATATACAACCACGGCTGCAAAAGCTACACAGTAAATTTCAGAGTAGGGTCACCCCATCCACTTACTCATTAAATTAAGCTATTATTTCAGAACACCCATCTACTTTAAGTTTTATTTATTTAAACTAGAGATATACATTCAAAGCTTAGCTTCCATTAAGCTGAATATTGCATTTATCAGTCTTGACAATTACTTAAACACTCTTGAAAAACATGACAAGTTCCACAATTCAGTAAGAAGTACTTGCCTTCTCAACTGTAGTTTACAGATTTTAAAATGCAGGTATTGATAAGTCTTTTCACATATCTAGAATATACTTCATGTAATATTAAAATGGAGCTAATCAAATGGTCGATTCCCTACTAGATGTATCAAACTGCCCAATATAAAACAACATACAGGCTATGCTAATTTAACTACCAAAGATTTTATTGTAATAGTAACAATAAATTGTCCAGGCTCATGAACTTCAAAAATATATACCCATCCATATTCACAGAATCACAGAATCACAGAATGGCCAGGGTTGGAAGGGACCTCAAGTCAACTTTGATCATGAATCTCCAACTCCCCTGCCACATGCAGGGCCACCAACTTCCCTATTTAGTACTAGACCAGGCTGCCCTGGGCCCCATCCAACCTGGCCTTGAACACATCTAGGGACAGGGCATCCACAACATCTCTGGGCAGCCTGTTCCAGCACCTCACCACTCTCACAGTAAAGAGCTTCCCCTAGAAGTTTTTCCACCAGAAGACATCCAACCCAGATCTTCCTTCCTTCAACTTAAAACCATTTCCTCTTGTCCTGTTGTTATCTACCCTTTCAATGAGTTGACTCCCCTCCTGTTTGTAGGCTCCCTTTAGGTACTGAAAGGCTGCAATGAGGTCATCCTGCAGCCTTCTTTTCTGTAGGCTGAACAAGCCCAGCTCCTTCAGCCTGTCTTTGTAGGGGAGGTGCTCCAGCCCTCTGATCATCTTTGCGGCCCTCCTCTGGACCTTCTCCAACACACAAATCCTCTACCCTATTTTTAGAAGGCTGGATAACACCATTACATCCTACGAGTTACATAGTCTGTTTAGTTTACAATACCACTTCAGATTATACCACCATAATCATGTCACAAGTCCTTCTTTCGTAAATATTTACCTGGTCCACATGAATTCCATAGGTAATGGATTTGCGTCAGCATTACATCTGAGCTGAACATTTTCTCTTCCAATGAACCAGTTTCCATCATATCCAGTTACTGAAACTTCTGGGGCATCTGCCAAAAAATAGTTTACCTATCAGTAACCACAATATTTTCTTTCAACACAAACTGAGAGTAATGATCAACTTGATGCAAAAGGTTTTCATTTTTGCTGTTTTAGTTTTGATTTTTAAGAGCCACAACCACCAGAAAAAAATAAAATACAGTCCTAAACACAAGCACAATACATAACAGTAAATTAGAAAGGGCATAATACAGTTGTTTTAACTGGTGCAGCTGTTCCACTCTTTTTTGTTTTGTTTTCTTAACAAAAAAAAAAAAAAAACAGCACTTAAGTAGAAGAAATTCTAAAGGAAAGAATCAATTTTGCGTTCCTTTCATTTTCCTTGGTAATTCAAAGCTACTTCTCACTAGTAAGATACAGCAAATAATCAGAAACAGTGTTTTGAAAAGGTAATTAGGAAACCAAGAAGTTCACACCTGCCAGTTGAAAAGGTTAACCATTATCCGCTGCCATTGTAACGTGCAACTATGTTGTTTTGCAACTAAAAAGCAAGCGGACCACTTCAGACAAGTCAGAGAGACCCTGAGGAATTGTTAAAAAAAAAAAAAAAAAACAGCAAAAAAAGAACCATCGTTATGAGTTTGTAACAGCTCCTACAGCAAAGGCATAGCAATATTTCTAAAAGCCGCAAGCGGAAGGGAAGATTACAACACACAGAATCTCCAATTCTCGTTTGCTCTTAAGCTGCTTATATGCAGTGCATTACAGATTCTGAATTACATGCTAGCAGTAACTTTCAGCTATTAAGGTCCATTTGCTCCTCTTAAATACAGAGCCTCAATCTCATTCACTGTCAAGGCAAGTAGTCCTTACTTCTGCTTTTTTGGTCTCACTTAAATCTGAGACATCATTTCAACACTGATAATAAAACAGTGATTAGAACTGATCTGTATGTCCAAATGAGCAATTGCTCATTTCTGCTTAGAAAGAGAAGACATTTGTGCGCACAAGACAATATGCAAACGTTCATCCTTTACAAGTTCAAAGCCTTTATCTATCAAGTCCTAAACTACCAATGCAAGAAAGTTGTTTCAAGTTTTAAGTCCCAAATAGTAAACATTACTTTCAGAAAGAGGGGAATGAGGTGCAGCAGCAAAGGCTACCTCAGTTCAAAGCAGTATCCTTACATGAACTGAACAAAGCTTTGCCAAATAGAATGAATGTGTAAGAGACTTTAGTTACACACCGATGTAACTAAGTTCATGTTTTCCAGTCATGAGATGTCTTCCCACTAAACTGTCAGCCTTCAGCTGTATGCTGTTTTGAAGTCCTTAAGTCAGAACAATATCAAAGAAAGAATTAAAAACAGCTTATTTTGCTGTTTAACAAAATTGCTTAAAAAAAAAAAAAAACAAAACAAAAAAAAAAAACAGATCACACACATAAGGCTTATTTTCTTCAGCAGTTTTAATCTAAGCAGAGTTGTAAACCAACTTGCTTCATATTCATATCTTCTAAAGACAATTTAAAACAAATTTGTTAGACAAACCCGGTACCCGAACAATTTAAAGTTGAGTAACAAGTACTGGTACTGAATATATTACAATCTTGTTTTCTTGTGCAAATTAGAAAGGAAAAAGCTTTATGTACAATTTTAAACCTACTGAATGCCCTCCTCCCTTAAGTCATACTTTAAACTCGTCATTACAACCATAAAGTGTTATTTGATTTCTTTAATACAGCTGAAATCATAGGACACCGTGAGGTGTTTATAGACCAAACTTCATCTGTAATTTTTTCTTTATTGACTACCACCATGAATACTAAGTTCACCCATGAGCCACAAACTCAAACAGCCATAATGCTATTTTAGCTTTGTTACTAGACTTTTTTTTTTCTTTTTAATTACAACAGAAACCCTAGACTTCTATTCCTGGCTGATCCCTTATTACATGCTTTTCTAAGCAATTTTCTCTTTTTCTGAAGAATTACATGTTCAACATGTCCCTATCAAACCTAAACACAGATAAAGACAGTAGTTACAGTAAATTCATCAAGTAGCAACAGCTACTTAAAAATACTTACACTGTATATCCAACACATGAGAGAATCTTATCTCCTTTTCCAAAGCTGGGTGCCTCACAATACAAGTTATTCGTCTTCCTCTTGCAAATCGTGTAGGGACAATATTATACTGACTTATGACTGTCACTGTTTCATTTGGAAACAAAGTGGAGCTGGATTCCATTTCACCAAGACCTCCTTCCCAGTCAATCTCCGCAGCAGGTTTTCCAGTGGCTGCTGTACAAATGGCTGCTATTGTTTGATTTGCACCATCAATCAGAGGGTTTGGTCCTTTTGTTAAGCTGACAATAGGTTCAACTACGGGGGAGAAAAAAGGTAAATTTAAGCCAGAAAGAGTTCAGAACTTTCACCTAACTCTCTTACATAGCAACACTCATCTAACTCATTTTACAGAGCTCACACTGAACAGGCAATATATAAATAAGATCAAATGATTATCAAGGATAAGAACTCTGCAGTGCTTTGGCCCACCAATATTGCATTTGCTCATGACTTGAAGTTTAATGCTGCTCATTCCTTACGTATAAAGCTCTGACAGAGAACTCCAGAGTTGTTAGGCTCAAAGCACAAACCACAGTGCTTCAATTCCAATGTCTGACAACAAATAGATTTTTTTTATGTATTAGATTGAAAATACACTCCTATATTAAAGAAAGCCTGAATTGTACTGCAAAGTACAGTACTGTATTTAAAGTATTAATCTACACTGACAGTTTTGGTCATTTCAGCACTACTTTATTCAGTGTTCTAACATCAGATATTAAAATTTTAAGTTTCTTACAGTTCTTAAATGCAACAACAAATTCCAGGCTAAAAGTAAGAACAATCAAGAATTGCCTTTTTAAAGATTTAAAATGTAGACATATACACAGTAAAAACTTTGCATTAAATTATTCATGCATATAATTTACAGAATTTTTATATATAAAATTAAAAATGTATATACAGATGTTATCAGCTATAGACATTAAAAACTTGACCTCAACACTTTGTTCAAGACTCAAGAAGCTCAACCAAAAGAACCTGACATCCTTGTAAATCCATTGCTTTGCCACAGGTTTAGGATTTAGAGAGCAAACTTGTCTCTAAAAAGGAAGCTATGTTACTGATCCACAGGTCTGCCACAGGCTGTAAAGCCTTTAAGTACTTCTTCCTGTTTTACTAGTATAATCTTGTTAAGCTGGAATAGACACCAGTTACGACTTAAGTCCCCAGACCATCTTCTGCTTCTGATATGAACTAAGGCTTTGTGTTTTAGGATGGTTCATTTCCCTTTCTAATACTGGGACATCTGGGCTTCTCAGTAGTACAGTACCCTATTACAAAATCCTTGTGCATTGATTCAGTTAAGATGAGCTCTCCAAAGTAAAGGCATCACTACACTTCAGAATCCATCTCAGTGGATCAGTCCTCAATTACAAAGCAATGGCAATTCTTTCCACTTATACACTTTTCAATACCCCATAAGAAGAGATTTAGTTCACAGCATTTCTTCCAAAAAACCTGAAGCTAGCACACATTAAAATGTAATAAAGCACACTTCACAAGAGCTGGCAAGATACTCTCAAGATCACAATACCTTGAAAGAGATAACAGTAACAACTTATTTTTGTGTGAGTGGATTCTAGAATCAGTTTGGCTGATTTCTGGTCAGTCTATACCACTTCTCCATCACTGAAAAAGTATGATATTTGTCCAGTTATACTTAAATGAAAGATCACAGCTAAATGGATAACCTTATAAAAAATCTGTTCTCTTTTCTATGCTCAGGATATAACAAGTGCTTGAAGAATATACCTCAAACTGAAGGCTGGCTGTTGTTTCAGGAAGACCATCAAGACTGTATTGCTTTCTGCATCATTTATCTGACAGCCTTTCCTGCTGTGCTATGTAAATGACCCTACTGTAAATAAACCAACAGCAACAGCTCTTCCACCAAATTCTACATTCAGTGTTTCTAGATCTGCAAAATCTGTAATACAGCTCCTCTTTCAGTTTGATGCCCTACTCTCTAACACTACTGAGAACTGAAGCTTTCTTTAATGTACTTTCCTCCAAGCCCCTCCCATCCCCCCCATCACACCAAAATCAAAAAGCTTCACCATTAGTATTAGGTTTCTTCACCAGAACTTTCAGGTGCAACAAAAATGTTCACCTATTTCATCTCTGAACTTTTCTTGAAGGTAAAAACTCCTTCAAAAAAAATTTTTCCCCACTGTTTATGAAGGAATAGTTATTAGTTCACATGTCTAATAGTGTATCTCTAAACCCAGAACAGATTACTCAGTATGATGCTTCACTTAGTAAGCTCATTAAAATAAATTGTCTTTGAATATTAAGTGCCAGAGAACAGGATACAGGATTTTAAAAGCTTAGTTTCTCCTAATACTAACTTTCCTTCAAATGGTAAGTCTCCTTTCTCAGGTGACATCTGATATTTTTAAGATTGAACAGCCTCAGCTGATAGAGTAATTCTTAGACCTTCACTCACCAGAAAGAAAAAATTAAACTGATAACTAACTCATCTTGATAAAATATAGCTCCTTCTAGTCCAAAGTGCCTTGGTGCTTTATTGTTGCATACTTTTAAAGTGTTTAGTTACATCTTCCATAAACCATGGCTTTTGAACTACATATCAACTAAGAGATAAAAAGGAGTTAGCTACTCATTTGGTTATCTTTCACAATTACTCCACTCCAGCAACTGAAGCCAATTAACAGTAGAAACCCAGCTACTCATTCTGTAGCCTTTCAGGTTGTTTCACCTATAGCTTAAGAAAATTATCTTCTGAATGAATCCTTAATTACAAGGGTCTACTGCCATCTTCCAGTCATGCTTTTCACATTGGGAAACTTAGGAAAGAAATGACCAAAAGCAAATGTGGCACAGAAAAAGCTAAGAGAATATTAGAGAAGCTGCTTTCACCATTATTAGAAACATTATGCTCCATTATACTTGATTCTATGATCACGCTCTGCTCAAGTGAAACAGAAAATATGGTGGAGGCAATATTTACCTGGGGGAAAAAAAAAAAAAACATTTCTACAAAGATACAAATGCAGAATAGACTTGTTTCCAAAGTATAAGAGTGAAAGGGAAGTGGCAGCTCCCCATTAGCCCAGTTAAATAATCAAGGAGGTTAGAGACACTGATTGATAGAGGGCATGGGTTACCTTGCTTGTGTTGAAGAGTGGTCACAGATATTGGGAGCCATTGCACAATCTTGATTACATTTCAGTTATAAGCCACTGTCATATTTAAACTAAACTTGCACCTATTTAGGAATGCTCAACTCATTTGCACATTCATGTCAATCCTTCTCTCATAATTGCTACCTAATTTAAGCCTACCTACTTTAGCTTTGTGTTACATACACGAACCATCAGATACCATTAACCAAGCTCTCACACTTTACAAAAAGATAACATAACACAGTGTCTAGAGAGAAAGTGTACAAGGTTTCTTGGATTAACAAGGAAGTTGAATTCTTTGCTTTTTTTGAAAGAAATATTTCTATAACTGTATGCAGGAAGTCTGGATGTAACTGGCATGAATACAATACAAACAATATTATTTCGACTGACCATTAAACTCACTAATTAATTAGTCACAACATGACACTGGGAAATGTCAACCCATTTTTCATTGTAACCTACATGTACCTAGTAACTTTTCAAAAAAAATATTCTTAATATTACTTCCTGTCCACCTCCACATCAGCTAGCTTCCTACAGACATGCATCTTCCTTTAAATTTTCATCATCATAATTTGTACATCAGTGTGCCTGGGGATCTATCCAAGGTGGCAGATGTAAATTCACTTTCAATACTCTGTGCTGTGCAGCTCATTTGATTCACAGGTTTTAAATCCTGCCTGTCATTCTTAAGAGTAAGTCTCTAGAGGAAGAAGTACTTCATTACTCAAGCTTAACATCATAGAATAGTTTGTGTTAGAAGGGATCTTCAAAGGTCATCTAGTCCAACTTTTCCCAACATCAGTTGGTTCCAACTTCTCTGCTATAAGCAGGGACACATCCTGCTACATCATTCTGCTCAATCTGGCCCTGAATGCCTCCTGGGAGGGGGCATCAACACTGCTGGACAACCTGTTCCAGCATCTCATCATTCTCACAGTAAAGAATTTCTAATATCTAGTCTACACCTACTCTCCTCCAGTTTAAAGCCACTTTTCTTTGTCGCTACATGCTCTTATAAAATAAGTTCCTCCTCAGCTTTCCTGTAGGCTCTCTTCTGGTACAGAAAGACCACTGTATGGTCCCCCTATCATCTTCTCCTGTCTAGGCTGAAGAGTCCCTGGTCTCTCATCCTGTCCTCATAGGGGACGTGATCCAAACCTTTGAACATCCTCATAGCCCTCCTCTGGTTCCATTCCAACAAATCCATGTTCTTCTTGTAACGAGGGCTCCAAAACTGGATGCAATAATCCAAGTGAAGTCTCATGAAAGCAGAGTAGAGAGGCAGGATCACCTCCCTTGACCTGCTGGTCACACTTATCTTGATGCAACCCAGGATACCATTGGCCTTTTAGGCTGGGAGCACACAGTTGGTTCCTGTTGAACCTTTCATCAGACACCCACTGAATTCTTCTCAGGGCTGCTCTCATGCCATTCTCTACCCGATCTGTATGTGTGCTTGGGCTTGCTCCGACTCAGGTGCAGGATCTTGCATCTGGCCTTGCTGAACTTCATAACTTCACCTCTCAAGCCTGTCCAGGTCCCTCTGGATGGCATCCCTTTCTTCCAGGATGTCAATTGCATCGCTCAGCTTGGTCTTATCTGCAAGCCTGCTGATGGTGCACTTGATCCCACTGTCTACACTGCCTACAAAGGTGTTATTTAATACCAGTCCCAGCACTGATAACTAAGAAATGCCATTTTTCACCTCCATTTGGATACCGATCAATTGACCACAGCTTTGAGTGTGACCATGCAGCCCATTCCCTATCCAGGATGCCATGCAGGACAGTGCAAATGCTTTGCATAAGTGCAAGTAGATGGTTTCTGTTGTTCTCCCTATATTCACTGATGCTGTAACTCCATTGTAAAAAGTCACCCAGTTTCACAAGCACAATTTGCTCTTGGTGAAGCCATATTAGTTACCAATCACCTCATCTTAATTTTCCGTGTGTCTTAAGTAGAACTTTCAGGAGGATCTGCTTCACAATCTTGCCAGGCACAGAGGTGAGACTGACTGGCCTGTAATTCCCTGGATCTTTTTTCCTTTCTCAAAAATGGAGGTTATGTTTCCCCTTTTCCAGTCAGTGGGAACTTCAGACTGCCATGACCTTCCAGATATGATGGATAGCAGCTTGGCAACTTCATCCATCATTTCCTTCAGAACCCATGAATGGATCCCATGGACTTGTACACCTTCAGGTTCTTTAGATGGTCTAAAACCTGAACTTCACTTACAGAAGGCAGCTCTTCCTTCTCTTGGTTCTTGCCTTTGCTTTTTGCAATTCTGAACTCTAGCTTTGCAAGACAGTGGGATAAAAACCAAACCAATTATTTAAATCATCATATGTAGTATTCAATTAGCTAGCAACAGAAGTACCTCTGCTATACACCATCTCTTCTTTCTTCAAAGACCATTTTGGCCAGTTTAGTCACTATCTTGAGAAATGGAAAGCACAGAACACAGTCTGACATACAAATTTCTTTTTTGCTCTAGCTAATAGAAGATGAGCTTTAAGAACCATAGTTTTAGATAGATTAATTAGCCTCTGTGACCTGAAAAGCATTTACATTTCTTCATCTTACCTCTCCTCTTACAGTGCATTTCCTTAAAGCAACAAAGTACTAAGCTAAGCAAATAGACTAAGCGAAGTCACTGCATTTACATCTGTGAAGCTTAAGAACATAAGTTGGTGTTTAGAACCTCTATCTTAAGTGACCAATATATTGTGGCAAAATACGACATTACCTTGTAATTATTTTTTTCCTCAGCCCCTCTGTTTTACATTTTAATAGCACCTATTACTAGATTAATGTGCCTGCTATACATAGTAAGCAAATCAACTCCTTACTAAATAGGAACCAGGAGGTAAAAAGGTGATGTTTCTACTGGAAATAACCAGTTTCAACCTCAGCTGGACTTTGATCACTCATGGGACAATTTTTTAGAACAGCAGGAAAACAGTCAAATAAAGCTGATTAAGTCACATCAGGATTTTAAGTTCTGATTGGAGCTATTCTATGTCTTAAAACAGACCTGAGCTTCTGCTGTTGAACTCAAGCTACTGAAACCCCAAAGACCACTATGAAACACCACTCCCCTATTGCTTTTCCTACTTAACTCTAGATTAAATAACTCTGTAGCAAAAAACTGTCAGAAGAATAGAAAACATTGACGCAGTCATTCCCAATTTACCCAGCTCTATGTATAAGCTAAGCACCTGCTAACCAGGATGGAAAAGCAAACAGTTAAGATTGCAAATTAAAGGAAGAAAAATAATATTTAGATTCACTTCTGTCAGGAGAGGCTTGACCTATATGTTTTTTTAATCCTCCTAATACCCCTATCTCACTTCCATTCAGCTTGTATTTTGCTAAACATTTACTATTCAAATATGCATGTTTGTTACTAACTTGGAAAGAATTGGTTGAAGTTTTGAAGTTCAGAGGTTGACACCACGCCACTGACAGGCTTATAACTCCCAGTAGCTATCTACATCATTAAGAAAAAAGCCATGACCAAGAGCACTACACCTGACATACTATACTTCATCTATTCTAACAAACGTTGTTGTATACAACTTATTAAGCACACTGCAGTCCTACATTTTCAGATGTAGAACAATGAGCACACAAACCATGGATTTGCTTTCCAAGTTGCAGGGACTCTTCGTGCTTCAACAAAACCCAATGGGGCAAAAATAAATAGCTACTAGTAAGGTGCAAAAAAAAAAAAAAAAAAAAAAAAAAACAAAAAAAAAAACCTAAGACTAAACAGAAGAGATGAGGGATAGCAATGAGAACCTCCCAGTGTTTAGTGATAGAAATGAACCCAAAAGCTGAGAGACTGCTTTAGTAACCATGGATGTAACTGCTTGTCACAGACAAAAATCATAACAGGTGAAATAGAGGCAGGAAAGAATCAGAAGACTACGTGTTTTGTATCAAACAAAGCTTCCTTAAAGAAGTTAATGATATTAAATTGGATTAAATCAGTTGCTTTGATGCATCTATTTTGCCCCACCTTGTGGTGGAAGTCAGTTCACATACTATGTTACATCCATCTGATTTATTTCATAGGGCATTCTACAATTTTGGAAGACACCAGAAACCAAGAATATCCTAAAAATCAAAACTTATGTACAGAAAGAGTCACTGAAGGTCAGCTCTGCTGAACAAAACAGCACTTAACTACCTGCAAGGGATATATAAATAACTTGACTGTTAGAAGATAAAAGTTATGACAAACAGTTAAGTCATTAGGCCAAAGTAATTGTTTTACTTCATATTGCACAGCTATTTAAATTAACCTGGTATTCAGTACTGGTCCTTCCAACAGAACACAAGCACAACAACACAGAATTCTCAGTGGGGTAGACAAAATTACTTTTTAAGTTCAAGTTTCATATAAGTTTCACATCAGATAACTACGTAACTATACAAGGGCTTGAATTCCCAGAAATAGTCTGAATAATTCTACTTTACACTTGCAAGGTGTAGACTTTTTTATTTATATTAATATTAATTAACAATTTATATTACAAACCCAACCAATGTCATTAACTTACCATACTAACAGCAAACTTAGAAGGTAATGAAGACTAACGCTGTCTTCAACAGCTTTTCAGCAAGCACACACACAGATCCCTAAAATCAGTATTGTTTCCAAGTCCAAATTCTAAAAAGCATTGTCCAAAAAAAGCAATATATTAATAAGTTGATGCTACTAATTTCAATTCTTTTCCTTAAGTTTACTTACCTAATACTGTTACAGTTACTGACGACTGTGCATTTCCAAGAGGGAATGTAACTGCCTTACAGATATATTCTCCTGCATCAGAAAAGCTTACGTTTTTTAGGATGATTGTTGCATCAGTAAGTGAGTAGTTTTTAAATGACACTCTTCCTTGGTATTTTTCTTGAATAGAAATTCCATATTCAGGATGATGAACAGCAATAGTCTCTGAGATTTTACCATGGATCTTCTCCCAGGAAACTTGTGTTATTGTTTCATTTACATCAATTACGCATTTCAGTGCAACCTTCTTCCCCCAAACTGCTGTCACATGTGGATCAACAACTGGTCCAGCTAAGGCACCTAAAAAAAAAAAAAAAAAAAAACCACCACAAAAGTATTAGTTGGTACATAAGAAGGTCTTCACATTAACTCTTCATCATTTAGCTTACCTTTTACGAAGAGAACTCTACTTTTCTCTGAAAAACCATATTGTTTTACCTGATCCACAGCCATGTGGAAACACAGCTTGAACTTACAAAAGCTTGCCTTAGGAGAAAACCAAGCTGGATACAGATCAGTCATACTTCTGAGAACACAAATGTCAAAATCAGCACTATATCAAGCAACATGAAGATCACGTAACTAGTATACTGATTTTCCAGGAAGTTAACTAGTTATAAGCACTATATACGTTCATGTTTACTGGTAAATATTCCAACATGGTATTTTTGCACCTTGATTACTGATCTAGAGCATCAGGTAAAAATTTAAATACTTCAGTTACTTCTGCTTTCTTGAGATAATGCTAATGAAGACCTCCTGACAAGAAAGGCATAAATTAAGACTTTTATCACCTATGATGCCTACAGATCCTAGATCCTAATAAAGATAAGCATCATCATACAAATGCAATTTTTGTCCTACACTGTGGTGCTATGTCTTCATAGCAGATTTGATTTCTGTTTAAGGCCTTCAGTACTTTCAAAAGTAGCAACAGCACTTCAAGCTCCAGACAATGTAGTTTCTAACCACGCAAAGTACATTAAACCACAGGTTCAACTTCTTTTGCTAAACAGATGCTCCAGCAACTTCAGTCATCCATTCTTCAAGTGAACTAATGAAACCAAGCCACAAAGTCTTAGTCCACAGTTTATTTTTACTGAACTCAAGTTCTAAAGGCACTATTTTAACTACTCAGCATTTTTCAGTTTTTCTTGTCAAACCAGTACCTGGACTATATCTTGATTAACTTTCTCAGTAACAGCTCAACTTTTAATAGCCCAGTTTTCACATGCAAAGAAGTCATTCAAATGGATACAATAACCACCATTTTGGTCAATAAGCCTTTATAAAATAGAAATCCTGTTTCTGGAAAAAAAAACAAACATCTATACACCTATACGCAAATCCATCCTTGGAAGGATTCTATTTCCCAACAATTTCTCAGTGCTGAAGTCATAGCTAAGTCAACAAAGTAATTTAAACAAGTAATTAAAAGATTCAGATAAAGACTTCTTTCGGTATACTACTGACATTAGTCAGGAATTCTCTGAAAACACTGAGTAGCACAAATAAACTAAAACATATCTAGAAATCAAGACAGTTGATAGGCCAGTCACTGGGAAAGGATGGTAAAGGGAAAAAGTAGTCAGAAATCTCAAAACGGCAATAAAACAACTCTCAAGAAGAGAATATTCAATACTTTTAATCTACAAGTACTGAAAGAATGTTCTCTCTACTCTTTCCACACCTTCGTAACCAACATGCAGCACCCAGAATGCTGCCCTTTCTGAAGTGCCTATGCAAACACTTAATTGAAACTTTTCTTCAAATCTTTCTCAACTTGTCATTACATCTAAGCATGAAGTAAAATATTAGAAAGTGAAAGATAACAATTTTACCTTATATAGAAAGCTCACACTTTATTTCTGAAATCTCAAAATATAAACTAATGTATTTCAGAACATACATACCTGTACTGCCATTAATGTAAGAAAATATTTTTGTTCAGAAATTACCCATTCACGATTTCTAGTCTGCACTGAATCTTACTCTGTACTCAAGATTAACAGAATGATCAGCAGTATTAACTGCAAACTACTAAGACAGAAAAGCACCTGAAGGAAAGTTATATGAAAGCTGCTTAGACTTCCAGCAGCATTAAAAAAAAAAAAAAAAGACTCATTCTACTTGGTAGCAAACAAGCTGTTTTGTCTCCATTTAAATTGGGTTAGGATTTTTTGTTGTTTTGTCAGGATTTTTCTTTTTGTTAAGTCTACTTCTAATAATCAGAGGTATTAGTTACATAAAGATGACCATGGCACTTTAGGAAAATACATATTACATGTTGGTACTCAACCAGCCATCACTCCTTTGAAGTAGTGAAAAGGAACCCCCCCTTTTTTTTTTTTTACTACCAGTACTTCTAACAGCTCATTTGTGCACAGAGAACACTGCGTCATTTCTTATATTGATTGCACAGATATTTTCAGCAGTGAAGTTTTGTTGCTACTGCTCTCAAGATTTAAAGGCTTTCAGGAAGATACTTCAAATAGAGCTCCAGCCACAGAACATTCATCAGTTATATTTTGTTCTTCATTTACCTGTTCCATGAAAAGAGCCAACAGAACATCGCCCTCAATTTTATGTTTATTTTGTCTTTTGACACATTCTAACTCCAAATACAAGACCAACTCACCTATACTAATCCAGTTCTTCTATTAAAATTTTTCTAGAGATTTCACATACAAGGCTTTTTCTTCTTTTCCAGACTCAGCAATACACTGCTCAGTGCAATCCAGCACAAAACTTCTCTTTGTACTTCCACATGCATTATCAAACAATATTCAACTTTCACTGTAGATTGTCACTCACTTCAATTGCAAACACCCATCTTACAGCAAGAGCCTACGTGCATTTACTTTGGACACGCTCCATGTTTTCATGGCTGAGAATACTGAGTCCCAGGGAAGCCAGCAGGCTCTCTTCAATTGTAACAAGGTTCATCATTATAAACAAGTCACCCAAAACCTAACAGTTAATCCATGATTTTAGGAATATATCTAACAACCTTATATGGAACAAGGCATACAGTTGCACTGGAAGTTTTGATCCTTTTACTGGAAAACTGTTTAAACATGAAAAACTAAGTGTTTCTCATTTAAATAATCTTGATAGTGTTTGAATGCTGGGTCTGAGCAGAACATGAAAGAAAAGTCAGACTGCATGAGACTCGCTGCTCCCAACAAAGTAATAACTCATGTAGGAAAACCAGACTTCAGTTACTTCATCACGAGGAGGATATTACACATAGTCAGTTTCATATTTCAAGCAATTGTAACTTCTATTAATTGCCAAAAGCCAAATTCTGAAAGCAGCTTTTAGATACCACCGAGGTTTGAAAACACTGTAGTGTCATGCAAAACTTTTTCAGACAAAACTACAGATAAAGGAAGAGGTCTTTATCATATGGACTTAAAGTCATTTCTTACATGGTTCCCTAAAGTAGTAATGATCCATTGATGACCATGTGCACACTAGTTTAATTCTCAGTACTAAAAGACAAATAAGAGTAGACAAGAATCACACAGATTCTATTCTCATACTTCAGAAACCTCAAGGTTCTGGCCCACTTTTATTTGTCACTAAATATTTTCATAACTGTTCAGGGTCTTAAGTTCCTTGCCAACAGTATTTCCCTTCCTATTCTTTTAAGGTTATTATCTGATGATGTCCATCTCCTTTTAGCTGAAGAGAAAAAAATAAATGAAAAAAGTACTTCCAGTAAAATGAATCAAAGCAACTAAGAAAGTCATAAGTTTTGTTTAGTGAAGATGTCCTACTGCCTACTAGCAGGCAACTTGCGTTAACCACAGAAACACAGATTTGACACTACCTCAAGCATTTCCATGCAAGAAATCCCAAGTCTTACTGAAGCAACACGTTTTAAAATAATTTAAAAGGAAGACAATCACACATCCAAGTTACTGTCAAAGAGCACTTAAAGGTATCAGAAGCTCTTATTGTTCACCTTCTCTGTTTACAGAACAGATTAAAACAGAGTATGCATACTGAAGACAGTTTATTGAAGTCAACTGAAAAGATTCTGAAGTATGCCATCCTAAGTCTTATATGCATCACTTGATGTTTTGATACTATGCTTAGGATGGCTATAAAACTTGTTAAATAAACCAGTAGGCTGCCTCCCAAACAGACTGCACAGAGGTAATGGAAGCAATTACTCATTAGAGTTTATTAGAATCGACAAGCATTCTTTGTTGCAGTTTCTCCTAGGCCAAGAAATCACTTATTTAAAAATTACTTTGGTAGTTCTCAGAATCATCCTCTTTTGTATCTGTCAGCCTACTTTGTCCTTCCCAAACCCAGGTGAAAACAACCACATGGTCTATCTGCATTCATATCTCTGGTTATCATTATTTAACTTCTTTTGGTTGCTGAACAATCAAGGTAAGAGTTTAAACTAGCAAGTTAATTACTATGTTGATATTCAGGGCTCTCCATGACTCCAAAGTTCTTCATTAAAGGTTGTTATTTCCTTTGACACAAATACCTTCATTCAAGAATTTGTTTTGCTCAAAGACTGTAGCTAAATAGTGAGCAAGTCACATGTCTACTCCAAAACACAGTTTTAGAAGCTTATAATGCACAAGTCACTTTGAGGCCACATTTTTTTAATCTCCTTAATTAAATCCAAGATACCCACACACAAGACACAGTGTTTTAGTTTAGCTATTCTCCTTTCAAAACTTCAAGACTGAAATACAACCTTCTTTGCTCGCACACTTGAAACGCTGGATTTTCACCATTCCTAAAGAAAAAATTAGTACTCAAACTGAGATCTTGATTTGCAAACTATCAGCTCAAATCCAAATATTACTGTGTTTATTCTTTATGTTCAAATCTGTTGCAGCTAAGTTTTCTTTTCACTCATTAGTTCCTTTTCTATCTCCCTTCTGAGTTCCTCAATCATACATACTGACAAGTTGCACATTCCAGGATGTCTTTTGAGCACAGGATTTTTTCATGCAACTCATCTAATTGAGGACACTACCAAACAGATAACCTCTACTGGTGGGTTACAAAAAATTTCTTCAGTATCTTATTGTGAGATGGCATCCAGTGCTGTTAATGCAAAAATTTTCAAAGTAATTGCATCATTTGGCCTGCACAAGTGTTGGAAAATCCCTTGTTTGCACCAGTCAGACGTGCTCTTGCTAGCTAGACTTTTGCCTCCGTGTTCATCCTTTAATGAGTGTTCTTCCTACTATTCAGATTGCACAGGCAACAGACCAAGAGCTTACCTTGTTCTCATCAGTTAGAGATTGTCAGTAATGTTTTCC